AAATTTCACCYGAAGAAAACTGCTCATTTTTTTGGGGAAAACTAACTTACCCTTTAACTTCAAACAACAGATGATGGTCTTTTTGTTGTCCAGTATTTGTTTTTGTGCTATTTAAGTTCCCAGTTCCCAAAATTTCCGAATTAGACATATGTCCATGTAATTTAAAATGAGTTCTCTGCAGTGTTGTGAGGTTAGAACAATCTGCTTTTTAACACCACCTATCTTCATGAACTCCAGCCACCCTAGATACCTGTGCTCCTGTGCTGGACTCAGTCACCACTGCACCTCAGGGAACAGAACAGAACAGGGAAAGGGGATTTCACACATAAATGACTGTTTCTCTTCAGAAATCTTCTCAGTTCCCGGGCCTCAAAGATTTGGAGAAGAAATGATGTCTCTGATTTAACTGACTGTTCTTTGAAAAAGTATTATTTTTCTCAACATTTTATTACCTACTTAAAATTTCAATTTCTTTTTCATATGAGCTCCTCTGATCTAGCTTCTATTTTGCATTATTTTGCATTCTGCTGCCACCCTTTTCTCATCTACCTCTTTCTTTTAAACTCTTTCCAGATACATTTTTTTTACCAGGATGTTCTCAAATTTTCAAAATACCTTGACATTTTTGAAGTGTCTTCTAGCAGTGCACCATCATTTTAAAGATGCATTGGCCACTACTACACACAAAGCCGCAGATAAGGCGGGACCAAGTATCATATTAAACACCATTTACCTGGTCATCTGTTATGGATTATTTCTGGAACTGCTTAAAACAACATTTTAAACAACTTGTTTGAGCAGTGTTTTTAATATCTTATTTTGAAAGCTGGGATACTCTTTGGAAAAACTTCTTATTTTTCAAAATAGCATGTGTATTCTTGTTTAGTGTATGAACAAGAACAGTTATATTCTTGTTTGCTCAGTAGGAACAGTAGATGTTTAGCAAGAATGATTTGGTTTTTGTTAATCTGCATTGCATAACCATGATTAAAGTAAAAACCTATCTCTAAGTATTTTTTAATTAAAACATTACTATTCGTGTCAGTTTTCATAAAACCATTATGCTTTTCATCCAYAAGTGTATAATCAGGCACAGACTTTTAAGAAGGATCATTTTAACATTTCTTTTTCTGGCAGAAATTCCATTTATAATAATGAGAATGTTCAGTACAGTGAACAAATACACGTTTTTCCCTACAAAGCTTTGTGTTTGAAAACAAAACAAAAATAGAATAAACACAAACATTAGGCCAAGACAACATTTTACAGTACAGAACTCCACTTGCCACATATGAATAATTCAAATAACACTGCATAATACATAAGCGATACTTAGTAGCATTTCATTAATAATCAAAAACTAAAGTGACACAATGAGAACAACATATAAAAATAATTCAAATAGATTCCATTTACAACAAATAAGTGCTGGTCTGTTCACACTGCACATTAAGTATATTGTCCCAACAACCAAGCTTCCCAAACTACCCTCTTCTTCCTCGCTATCTGAACGCCGTGCTGACACTGAACACAAGAACACATTAAAAAAAMAAAGATCCTATCCACAATCTGGCAAGAGAACTAATGGGGAGTGACATCTGGAAACAGTTGGGTGTACATTTTTCCAGAGGTTTTATCTTACCCTGATATTTTGAAGGCCAGATGCTTAGCTAAAGTCAATGCTGCTATGTGGATTTTCACTGACTGCAAACAAGCCTTATCTTTTCTTCTGCTTACTCAACTTCTCTTAGTCTTTTGTTGCCTTATTTTCATTTTTTCTTTTTTTCCTATTTTTTTGAAAGAAAAAGGAAGAAAAGAACAGATTGCTTTGATTTGTCTTCTGCTGGTCATTTTTGTGTCACTGAGGATGGCAGGGAAAGAGTGGAAGGCCTAACCTCCTCCATTAGCTTTTGATTCAAAAAATGCACTCCAGCCTGACATTAAGAGTCTACACCAATTACTTGTCCTGCTTCAAACCACACATACAGTGTGTGGGGAACTACATCCAGGGATTGGGACTAATGTAGTCAGAAGCCAGGCAGAGGGCAGGTGTACGAGTGACAGCAGTGACTTCTTTCACCTCCTGACCCACTCCTGCTGCACCAAGTAACTTGACAGTGACACACAGCCAGAGAGTCCAAAGGATTAATACTTCCAGGTRGGATCCTCAGTGACTTTCCCAAAACTGTTTCTGAGATTTCTGGCTATTATATCCTTGGCATCACAAAGAATCCCTTTTCTACCTTAACATTCTGGGCAGAAGCATCTTCCAGCACTTTGAGGAGCTCCACCTTGCTTGCGGGAGCACCTCGRCAGCCCCCTTTCTGGCATTATACTCTTGGTCCATTCAATTCTATTTAAGATGCAGCTGCTGAAATWACCTTCCAGTTTATTTCTTACATGGCTACACTGATTCCTCCACTGGCCTAGACTGATTTGCCCGATTGCACTGAGGTTTAGTGGGATGCTGCTCAACTTAGTCCTTGCTCTCCCTTTCTCCGGCATAGAGCGGTGCTCTGTAAGGCACCCAATACTACCTGCAGGCAGAGCTACTCCTCCAGCTGGTGTTCTGGAAAAGGTGATTCCCCAGCTCTACGTGTGGGAAACAACAGACACTATTATAGGTAAAATCAAATACCTCAGTTACTACCTTGTGGCTGAATTTAATGAGAATCAAACTGCTCATTACACAGCCAATATTAAAATACAAAACTCTTTGGCAGCTGTTATTCTAGGGAGTCCCTTTGTATCCTGGCCAGCAGGAGACAGCATTGAGCTTGTTAAAGTCTCTTTTTATATTCACAGTTTGCAAAAAAGTAATCCCTCCTCCCAAACCTTTTCCAAAAAGTTAGATCTCATTCTTAAAAAAAAAAAACCCAACGGGGAGGGGAACAATAAAAATCAGGCACAATTTGGAMCACCACTAAAATAAAAATTTTGATTCAGTTTCATAACTCTGGAAAAAGAAGTGTAGCACAAACATAAAGAGCACACAGGGCCATGCAATCTTTCTCCACCCCAGAATATGCTCCTGCAGGAATGTCAAAGCTGAAAACYATGTAACTTCCTAAAAACAGTTTCAAACAGTAACTGGGAGGATTAAAAGAGGTGTCTAGCAGATCTCTGGTTTTAGAATGTGAAATATGGTCAGTTAAATCCATGTCAAAAATTTCTACAAAAAATGCCTGTAAGTCAGGAAACAAAGGAAACAAAGATAAAAACTTAGGATTGTATTTTCCTATAAATTTTGTCACTTGGAGGAGACTGGAACATATGAAATCAAGTACCTTGATCAAATGTGAAAATCTTAATCCTTAAGCCTTTTCTCCTATGAGGTTAAGAGTGATTATCCATAATGGACACAAAGACCAGAGCTGGGCACGCGTACAGCACCATGCAGTGAGAGCTGAAGGGATCTCAGGTAGGTCTGAGCGAGCAAGCAGTGTTGCTGCATTAGAGTGGTGTCTGCAAGCCAACGTATCACCACCTTCAGGAGGGCGCCTCAGCTTAGGCAAACACTGCACAGGAAAGCCTGGACTGCCTTTAGTGCGTAAGCCGGCCCACATTCTTCTGCATGGTTCTAGACTGTCCCTCTAAAGATCCTTTTAAAAGAAGATCAAGTTTTTAGAGATAGTGAGCAAGCCATTCTCTGGGAATGGTTTGATGATGGGCAAATCTGGGATTCTGTGAATTACCTCCCCTATTCAATCACACGAGGAAGTCTTGTGTCTTCACACCATCAGGCAGAGAAGCGACAGTATGAAACAAAGCTCAATGCAGGCAAATTTGAAGCACACCTTAGAATTAAGCTCACTACCTGATTATAGTAACTGCKTGCAGCACTGTCTCTATTGACACTGAAATTTGAGCTTATACCCTTTGTGTTGCATAACAATAAAAGAGCAACAGGAAGAAGCCTTCAATCCAGCTGAGCAAAAAAAAAAGTCTCAGAGAACAAATAGGGAAGTAAGTTTTTTTTGTTGTTGTTGTTGGTTTTTTTTTAAGAAAGGAAGCCACATACACTTTGAAAATACATTTTTTTTTCTAATCTGGAATTGAATACTGAAATAGCTGAAACACAAGAAGTTCCATCTCCAGGTGAGGAGCAACTTCTTTACTGTKAGGGTGACAGAGCAGTGGAACAGGCTGCCCAGGGAGGTTGTGGAGTCTCCTACTCTGGAGGTCTTCMAAACCYRCCTGGATGCCRCYCTGTGCCACATGCTSTRGKTGTGCCTGCTTGAGCAGGAAGGTTGGACTAGATGATCTGTAGAGGTCCCTTCCAACCTTAAATATTCTGTGAATCTGTGAATAGGGCTGCAGTTATGATTCCTTCAGCCCTGAAAGGCAGAAAAGCTATCTGCTGCTTTCTCTAATAAGAAATTCCACCTCAAGTCAAAAGCCGTAGCAGCCAAGGCTAATCCATTTCTAGTGATTTCTTTTTAATGTACTAATGTCCCTTATGGAAAGGGGAAAGGTCATCATGGTCCATACTATTAATATTTAGGAGCAAAATAACTTGGGAGCTTCTGTAGGAGGTAAATTAAACAAAATAGTCTCTCTGGCCAAAGAAAACTCTATTTGTTTATTTACCACAGAGTAACCCACACAGATGTCCTAGTTCTTGCTTCTGACTTAACACAAGTTTCATTTAGCTGTCATTCCACCAAAGGTAACTCGGTTCAGTGGAACAAAACCAGTACAAGATCAGGTTGACTGCTTCTSGACTTTAGAACAAAACTGAGGAGATAACAGAGTTCCAGTGACAGAACCAAAAACAACACAGCTCTCCTAGGCTGAGCCAGTTTGACCAGTCAAACATTTTCTATATGGCTCATCCATCAGTGCTCTACTTAAGACAGGTCTTAATTTTTTGAGAATAAGGACTCTTACCTATTTATAAATACATATCTCTAATTTTATTTCTATTAAAAATATAATGTTTTAAATGAAATTGTTATTTTAAAAATTAAGCACTTAAAATTGATTTTTTTTAAATGCCCCCAAATGCCACTGAGTTACACTATCCCAGGCTCAGTGATATTAAGGCAACTGCACTATTTCATGACATTCAGTGTTTGGAAAATAGATTTAGTGGTAGTGGGGAATTTGGTGGGGTTTTTTTTGAATTGAAATACTTTAGAGACAAGGAATGTTTCATTGCCCATCTTAATACTTCCTACATTATTATTAAAAGGAACAGTAGTTGTCCTATTTAAAAAAGATATTTACCATATCTCTTTATCAGTGCACACATGCTATTTTCATAGAGAAATTTATATGCCTTCTTCCTCTTTCAACTGTGACAGCTTTGGTAAAGTAGTTCTTTGAAGGTTTAACAAACTTTCTAACATTTGCAAGTTTTRAAACATAAACAGGAAAAGTAATGTCATTCCTGGTAATCAGGCACGGTKTTTAATGAATCTTTTCCAAATCAGCTGTAGAACAATCAGCAGAAYGCTTTGCAGAAGTGAAATGGATTTATACTGAACTTGAAAAAGGAACCACTTGCTTTCCGGACACATATACTTCAGAAATGTTCCGATCATCACCTGAAATAACACAGTCAAAAGAAGTTTGCACATAAATCTATGCACCAATCTATTTCCTGAAGTGATGTAATCCTCAGTTTTTGAATAAATCATTTTCACAGACCATTTCCTACGTTTCCTAAGAGGAATAATCATRACCTCCACAAAGATCCATAAATATTATAATAGCCATACTTTTTTATAAAGAAATAAAGGGTCTGCGTTCAGCTTTTGCAATAAAGGCATGCATTTTCTATATATTTAGAAGACTCAAAACCTGAAATTATGTCTGTACAGAAGATGCACTGCTGCACAGATGTACCTGAACTAACCAAGGAACCAGCCTCTAGTAAAGATGTGTTGGGATATTGCTTTGCCTGAACTAACTTCTGAAAGCACAAAAGCCTCAGGAGAGATCCACACAGCTGTGGCCAGAGTTGACTCCAGAATATCTGCTGAGCACTATGATATGCAGCAAAGCTCTTGCTCCAGAGAATGCCACAGGAAGAATATATAATCTCTTAGAGGTTTTGGTTTTGATTTTTTAGGCYTAGACAGCAATTGGTCGGCAAAAGTACTTTGTTCTAAAAATAAATTTGACAGTGCATCTGATAATGTTAAACAAAGTATTTTACTAGGTCCCAAAGGACAAAACTTGCACTGTTTAATTCTTACTCAATACTTATAAATAAATGTAATTTCCATATCATGTTAGAAGATCTTTAACATACAAAACAAAAAGTGAATTTTTTATCAGGCAAGGATCAAAACATACCTAGATAGAGGAACTTCTGGAGAGTATCCTGCAAAAAGGAGAAAAACATTCAAAATGCAGTAACTGTTATGCCAAATAAATTATTTAAAGTGTGAAATTGTGCATAACAATAGCTTTCCTAAAAAATGATTAATAACTGTAAAAATCAAAAGTTAATGTGCAGGTTTTAATTTATTTTCAGTTTGGTAATATGTCTCAGAATGAAAATACTACACATTTGGACAGTCATTAAAAAATACATGCGTAAAACATAACACTTCCCCTTCCTCATGTTTAGAGTTCTCAAATAAACSTACTGCTATTGAAAAATGTCACAAAGTTGTAAAGACTTTTATAGTCCCAAGAATTTGGCTTACTCTCCTTTGGCTGATGTTGTAAATTCTTTTTTCTTCCAGAACAACTTCATTTAGAAAAAAAAAAATATATATAATTCAAGAGTTTAATCTAAATTTAATCTAATGCAGATTACTGTGATTGAATGAAGTTAAGGAACAATTAAGTTATGCCACTGTTTCTAAGTCAATGATGGCCTTCACAACACAAGCAATAATAAGCATCAGTGAATTCAAATAACTGTCTTTCCTTACATTTTTTTAATCACAGAAAGACTTGGTTTCAGAAAGTGTCCCTACTGAATAATACCAGTAGTGGTTATATTTTTACAAAAACCTGTGCTTTTAATTCAAATTAGCTATACTGAGTTTTTGTTGAGCTTACAATATCAATATAAAGGCCACCTGGAATTTGACGGAATTCAAAACGTTAAATTCGCTTTCTTGGCTGCTATTTGTCATTGTAATTAGCTGGCTCCAGTTGCCAACTTGAGCTAATAAAACACACATTAAAATGTTATATGCATTTTTTGCTCATAGGGAAATATGACTGTCGTTGTGGCTAATTCAATTCTGAGTGTAGTTCTGTATTGCTTGAGTTGCAACACAGAGAGCAGTAGTGCAATAACATCCCGTTCCTGTCACTAAGACTAAGACTAATACAACCAGAATTACSACAGCCTCATCAGGACTATCACAGCCCCTTACCAGGTTATTTTCAACAATTTATTGGATCATTACCCCTGCTTTGATTACCTCAAAAGCATCAGAAGAGAACAAGTCAAAAGGACTGTCTGAAGCCTTTGTGTTTATCAGCAGTGCATCAAATTCTTTGCCAACTTCAAAGTTTCCAATCACATCTTCTAATCCTAGAACTGAGAACCAAAACAAGTTTACAAACAGGTCTTCAGTGAAAGCCTGGCAACTTGCTTGAGAAASTCATAAGAAAATACGACAAGAGTTTAGACTGCAATAAGGAAAAGTCTGAAAATAACTGTAATAGTAAATATGCCAACATCTGAGTTCTTAAGCAATTTTTCAGTAAAAATATATATCTTTAGGTRAAATGATGAAGGACAGCTGCTATGCATAAGGGAAATCTGAATAAAAATTAAACCCCTTTTTTAGTTTTTGTTCTTTGAATGTTCTCCCCTAGTTCTGTTATGTACAGATCAAATGCATAAACCACTATTTTTTGCAGGTAAATAGTAATTCCTCACAGTGCAAAATCCYAGAAGTTCCACAGGGTCAATAAAATAAAGTCAGATCAATAGTCAGCTATACAGTAATGCTCACCTTAGCAGCCTAAGGCATGCTACATTGTTGCTTGCAGGGTAACATATAATAAGAATTAAYATAATTTATTATTATTTGAGAGCATAATTAAGGCTCATCAATAAGCAAAAGTCATCTCCAGACCTGAAGCCCCCATGGCTAATTGTAACGCTTCTCTTATGGTAGAAAACTGCATTATTTACACTGCAAATGAAACATAATGATGAACTGTATGGTTCATTATGACCTCAATATCTTAGGTCTCTAAACACTGGAAACTCAAARTTTCATCATAGATGACTGATCCTTCCAAGAGCTTGTAACAGCTAAAGAGATGCCTTTGCATCTCCTTTRAAATAACTTGGCATGTTTTTATGTTACAAAGTATCTAAACATGAAATCAAAATCTCCCATTGAATTAAATTATCAAAGGAGAAACTAACAATAATAACCACATAATTTGTTCCTTTATTTTTAGATAGCACCTGTTTGMAAAACAAACTTCAGTCTTTAACAAACTGTGTGTGAGACAGAAACTTCACAATTCCATGTATTTACACTCCTCAGAATGGTGAAATACCAGCTCTGATTACTTAGCAGTTCAACTAAAAAGATCTCATATTCTTCTGGGCTGTGAGCAGAATGCAGTTTTTAGATTAAACACAAGAGGGTGACAAACGCCCAGGAGACTCAGCAAAGCAAATTATCCCAACAAAAATGCGGTCACATTTAAACTTCTCATAACTCTACGCATCCAGGCTACTTACAGGATATACCAATGATTTTATTTTAATCCCTTTCAGAAAGTAATTCAGTAAGGATGAAATAGTTCAAAACCACTACATAAAATAAATACATGACAGTACTGTGAATTCCAGAACACRGATAAATGAGACACAAGAGCTGCAGAGAGGGGAAGAAGCCACAAGAAAGTTAGCAATTTTTGAACTTTTTCCTTTCTGTATCTGAATATACTTATTCTTGCCTTTAATTAGCACAGTATTTATTCTGGGAAATTATTTCCTGCTTTGTGTCCCCTGCTCATTTTCTTTCTTTCTTCTCTGTCCCAAATTACACCCTGCTGTTCAACTGCACGCCTGAGAACTTGATGAAATTTTCATTACAACTTTCAAATTTTCATAAATGCTTTCAGTTTCAACTACCTGTGTTTTTTGAAATCAGCAACAGAAAAAGCTGAGGAATAGTAGTGGACACATTTCAGCTAACCAAAGCAATTAGGAATTTTTAATTATGTGTAAWTTTTTACCTATGTGTAGACTTTTTTTTTCCTGTTATTTACTTCAAAATCATACAAACTCCAATAAAATTTTGTTAATTGTATAAAAATCGACTATTAGTGAATACTGATCGTGTCAGATATGATGAGTATATTTAAGATGCACCTGCATCTTAAATGATCGTGATGCATGTGCTGCTTAAGCWTAAGGCTTTTGTTTGAGGGGTGATTTGCATCATATTTTGTCCTGCTGAAAAGACAGTCACAAGTCAACCAAGGCTGCAAAAGAAGAAAAAAACGAACAGCAGGTGACAAACATGAGGCATAATTTTGTTGTAATTTCACAGTTTTTCTTTTACAGTTTGTTGTTCAGCAAAGAACAAAACAACTGGTGTGACATGAGAGAACAAAAGATCCAGGACTTTTTCAAATAAGATGTAATATCTTGAAAAATCATTAAGGCTCTATTATTAAAATTGTCACACTATGTCACTGTCACAGAATGCTTTTCTGAAATCAATCTGCTATTGTTGAAAGACTAAAAGAAATCTCTTCTATCCAGCATATGCATTACTGATCTTAATTCTAGCATGAGAATATCTGTGAGTTCAGCCACCTTTGAAGAAAAAATAAGAAAGACAAAGACAGGGAAACAATACAAAAAAGAGCTATAGTTCCTATGCACACTCTAGAGAAATTTCTTCTTACCTTGGCTTCCTCCTAGGGTTGCTAGTCGAAAAGCTTCTTCAAGAGTTAGTCCTCTTTCATTCACTTTACTAAGCAGAAGGGCATTAGATGCCATCATTGTTTTCCTGATAGCATCAAGCATGGAAGCTGAATATCCACCAGCAACATCTAGGAGAAATCAGAATCTTAGAAAAAAAATTTGGGAATAATTCTCTGGATTAAAGTATTACAAGCTTTAGTGAAATGTTACAAAGGAGCAGATGCAGTGAATATGAAAAGTTTTATTGCTAACCAATATGGCAACATGTAATTCCTAATAAATCACAGAACAACAGAACGGTTGAGGCTGGAAGGGACCTCTAGAGATCATCTAGTCCAACCCCCCTGCTCAAGCAGAGACACCTAGAGCAGGGGGCACATGGTTGCATGTGCTCCTACATACAAAGTCATGCAAAAAAAAAGGCAACATAGCCTAAAAGAAATTTGTGAAAAATTATAGTTCAGGCTCTGCTTATTTTCATGACCGAAATACTAGTTTCTTCATTCATTCTTGTATTTTTTTAACTTTTTTCATTGATTGGAATCATGCTGACTTTAAAATACAAACATGCGGTATGTTTTTGTATCTTTGAATTGTTTTCAAAAAGAKAACTGTTTCTATAGCAAACTACAAACCTGTGCCAAGGCCAAGCTTCACATTGTGTTTCAGAACCTTCTGTACATTTAAGATACCACTGCACAACCTGGATTGGAATAAGAAACATATCTTGTATGATACATATAGTGGAAAGTTTATTCCTACAATTGAATAAGAGTAGGGCTTTAGAGCAGCTCTCAGAATACATGGCAAATTAAGCAACAGTSCTGTTTTCATAAGCCTAAATTCTGTTTCTTAATTACTGAACATAAAGGAAAAATTCTTAATATAAAAACCTGATAGGTTTATAGGTATCTACTGAAAAACAGAGCTTAATACTTTAGGGAAGAAAATGCATATATAATGTAAAGTATACCTATGAGATGGGAGCTCATTTCATGAATCCTTTAAGCTCTGGTATGTCATCACTAACAGATACTGATTACATTAAAGGCAAAACCATTGCAAACATTTAGCACACTATCACAGCTGGCCTCACATCTGCCTAACAGCATTCTTGAAATGTATCCAGTCATGTCATAAAAATGTCATAAGTCTACAAAAATTCCCAACACAAGCATACTTTTAAGATCACAAGTGTACTTTTAGGAGAACAGGAGACAAACAGAATCTGTCACTGATGGAAGAGTCATAAAAGAATACAGTTCAGAGGAAGAAATATTCCTGTATGTAATATTGCACTCACTAGTCAGTCTGAAGCATACCACGCAGAAGTGCTACTACTTCTGGTGGAATGAGCTGCCCTATACCTAGACCTGTGATTACAGGCTAGACTGACAGCACTACGTGAACAATAGCTTTACCTAACAGTACTCTCTTTTTTTTTTTTTTTAAACTTACGAAGAATTAGAAGTGGGACAATGTGAAATTGAAGCTCCGCGAAGATTAAAAAGTTTCAGTTCTTCTTCAGAAAGATAGCAGGCATGGGCCATCACTGTCTAAAAAGAAACAGAATCRCTGATTTACTCGATACTGGATTGCTTCAGTGCTGTGAATTTTTGCTGCATTGCTCTGAATAGCCCAAAAGACACCTGTCTCCTTCAAGAGAAAATTAATACAATAGTAATTTCTTGGAGTGAGATGAGAAAAAAACTACCATTAGTTTCAGTATACTTCACACCRTATCTTAAAAGACCTCAGTCCCCTTGCTTTCTTTTTTCCATTTCTGCRTATAAAAAGATGCTAGATCTTGACTGATTTTTAAGAGTTGCAAGGAACAACAGGAAGAGTGCTGCAATTAACACTGCACTGTTGTAATCTTATCATGTGCATTTTACAGCTACAATAGAAGATGCCTACACCCTTATCCTGTGTCCTAGATTTTCTCTAAAAGTTCTACACGAGGCAGATCTCCTCTGGAATATTATCTGATCCATGAAGGTTAACTTGTTATGGAAATGATTAACAACTCTTCCCTCGCGGCTTACTTTGTTGATTTAAAGGTAGGTTCACAAGCAGTACTCACAAAGCACAAGAGATTAAGATAGTATCTACTTTGATATCTACTTTTGAAATCTRTTTTGAATTACGTAACATGCTGAATGCCTACTCAAAGGATATGACAGGGAGACAGCTCTATTAGGCAATCTGGTGATATGTATCAGAASTGCTCAAGGACTGTTCTCACTGAATATATCCTGATCACATTGTATCTTTGCGCTCTCAAGTTCAAATGCAGCTCAAAATCCAATGACAGCCATAGGCAATGACATATTAAGTTAAGCAATTCTGTATGTTATCTGCTGATCTCTCTAGAGCTCATGGGGTTTTGTTTGTTCATTTGTGTGTTTTTGTAAGGGAAGTATTTCAGCATTAAAATGAATTTCCATATTAAAAAAAATTAATTTGATGTCTTACATTTTGGGAAGAGTCCTGTTATTTTGTTATGCTTCTCTCTAAAACAATGCTTCCTCAAAGAGCCAAGTAGCCTGGCACCAAAATGCACCAGTCATAATTTTAATCATAATTGTTAGTGCTATAAAGTGATACAAAAGTTTTGACAGAACTGGAAACTGTGTTTTAGCAGCACTGGTGTTCTCTCTACTATATTTATGCAACAACTTAGCATGTACAATACTGTTCAATAAAAGAGAACTTAGTAACATTAACCTAGTTAAGTAGCTTGTATTGACTTTTCCAATTAAAAAAAAAAAAAAGTTCTATAAATATGTGATTTATGGGACTAGATTTTCAAAGGCAGAAATGGGAATTCAATGTTGAATTCTCATGAAGTTTCTGTGTTTCTGAAAATTTTCTCCCAGATTTTTAAAYCACTATAAGCAATCTGACTGTAGTTAGGTGTTTATAAAATATCTCCTGCCTGGACTTTCTGAAATCTAATACGATCTGACTTTATACTCCAACTACTACGCAGAGTGGGGAGGCATTATATCTGTCTGCTTTTAGACAAATTAAAACTTAAATTAATTTCAAATTTTCAGGCCAGTACRCCTCTGTCAGTATTTATGCACTTGAAACTGCATCAGGGATCATAACCTGTCTTTATTKTTCCTCTTTATTAAAATGCTTAGGAAAAGCATTGGCTTATCTAAAGCTGCAATATCTTTCCAATACCAACACCTTTGTAATGGAAAACCTAAGTCTGGTTTCTTTCCATTAGATATATCTACAAGTCCTGAACTAGACAAAGAATACTTTTCTCAGGCAACTACAATTCATCAACATATTCTGCACATGGATAGACCTGTTGAAGGTTCTATGAAATTACCTTGCTGGTAAGCAGTTTGTTTCTATCATACACTTCAGTGTAATTCTGATAGTCWGGAAACAGGTTCTTCACAATTTTAAGTTCTTCTTCATTCTCACTTATATGGCTCTGCAATAGGAAAACTGCATGATAAGTATAATTATATTCAGCTTGTGTTCAAATATAGCTAGATTGTTAGTCTTAGAACTAAGCAGACATTGAGATCCAGTCCTTGAATGTTTCTACTCCCACTAGAGGATCCAAAAGACTAGCTGTTTTATTCTGTTAAAAATGATATGGAAAGGAATGTTTAGACAGGACATCCCAGAATTATGGTGACACAAGGACACTACCATACTGCCACTGCTGGGCACCTTTTGACTTTGGCTGCATGACATTGATTGCCCCATTTATGTCACACTCACCTTTCCATTTCTTCCCTAGTTTAAAGCCCTCCTAATGAGGTTGGCCAGCCTTTTGACAAAGACATGTGTACCCCTCTTGCTGAGGTGGCTCTTATCATTCCCCGCTAGCTGGTGGTCCTCCAGCAGAGCCCCTTAGTCATGGAAGGTTGAATCCATTCTCCTCATTGTCAGGATAGAGAATACCACTTGGACTCCCAGACCTTTGATGTCCCTTCCTATGGCTCTGAAATCCCATTTTATGTTGCTCAGTCTCCCCATGACGTCACTACTGTCCACATGAAATAGTAATAAGGGATAGCAGACTCCTGGACAAGCCTTGGTAGTCTCTCTGCAACATCSCTTATTCAAGCCCCTGGCAGACAACAGACCTCTCTAGATAAGGTGCCTCCATGCCCTGCAGATCGGTGCCTCCATGCCCTGCAGCAAGGAGTCACCCACGATGATYGCTCGCCATTTCTTCCGGATGTTCCTTTTCTCCYTAGGGGCAGCAGCTCTAAGGTGCACACTTGACTGCCTTTCTGCAGACAACCTCCAACATGCACCTTGGTCTGTGACCTCATTTGTCTGGTCTTCAACATCCAGGGCCTCGTCCCTCTTGAACATGTCACTCGGGGKCAAGGTGGGTCGGGGAAGGGTTCTCCTGTCACCTCCAACAGGGACCTGTTTCCGTGGTGGTTCATCATTTGATACTGTTAATTCTACCCCCTCCACTCTAGTGGATTCCCAGATAGAACTGGGGGATTCTCTGGGTGCCTTTCCTGGGACGACTGCAAAATGCAGCTCCACCAGCCTATCTCTCTCTCTCATTCCCTGACGGCCCTCAGTCTTTCCRCCTCCTCCTTCAGCTCCACCACCAGGTCTTCCACCCGCTCACACCTAAAAGGCAGATGTCATTTTCACTGTTCCCTGACAACACAGCCAGGGACCTGGACTGCCGGAGTCTCACAGCCAGAGACCTGGACTGCCACGTGTTTCCATGGTGGCTCAGTCTGTGATGTTACKGTCTTCCTGATGGAAGCTCTCTGAGGAGTAGAGACCATGGCATGAACTGATTTCCCACCAGCGGGAGAGATTGTGGCGGGAGCTCTCTTCCTGAGCCGGGATGAGGCTCCCTGCACGCTGCCTGCTGCTCCTGCCTGCCTCCAGAGCGTGCTACGCTCTGGTCACTTGTGCTCCCCAGAGGTGCAATTCAGGTTCCTGCCTTTCCTGCTGGCTCCGCACATGCTGAAGTCAGAGCCCACTGCAGCCCGGGGCCTGGCGCAGCTCGCACGGAGTCGGCGCTGGGGCTGCCTCTCGCTCCCTGTGCTTCCTCGCTCAGTGGCTCTGGACACAGTTGTTCATCCCTAGACAACGTGCTCCAGAGCGGGYGTCCACTCCAGAGCCTTTCCCTTCGAGATGTTATCTTCAAGATAAAAGGTATCAGCCTACGAAACATGCAGCCTTGGAACTGGGCAAAATAACAGGTAACTGTTCCACATCTCTTCACATAGGTTGAGTAATTCCTGGTCTGAGCTAAAAATATGGCTCATCCTGAACTGTCAGTGGAGTATGTACCTCCTGTATTCTGAAAATGACCTGCCTTGTAATGATAAATGATCTTAACAYAGGGCAGGTTAAGGATTATAACCTAGAATTATTTAACTAAAAAAAAAAAAAACTCAAAAGCTTTAATTAGCTTTTTGTTAACCAGAGAAACTTTATCACACAATAAATTCTCCATCTATGATAATGATGTTACACATGATAGAAAGGTACCTAATTCTTTTATCCACTGAAACGTGCTTTGCGTAGAAACAGTAGGAGGCAGCAAGACACAGATGAGCAAGCTTGGAAAGTTTGAAATAAGAGAGAAATCTATAGCAAACTAAAGGTTGCTTTAACCTCCAATCCTTGCTTTTGGTCTCCTAGTAACCACATGTTGGAGGCTGCTGAAATTCTAGCTACAGCTGTCTCATTCGCAGTGTAGGTCACAGTGATCTAGCAGAGGACTATCAATAATTTCAGAGGAATTTAAAATACAGAAATTCRGAAGTAACACAAGTAAAGAGGTTTGCTGAAAATATGAACAATTGTCTGGTCTGTGCACAACACCGAAATTATACAGAAAACACAGAATTTACCTGTACATGGAGATCATGAGTCTGTGCTAAATTGCCAAGTGCTTGCAGCAGATCTTCTGTGCAGGAAGGGGCAAAGCGAGGTGTTACTATGGGCTGTACCCTTGGATACTGAAAATACCAAAGAGACATGCTTAAGATTGTACATATGTATCACTAACCACAATAAAGAGCAGAATGAATGACAAGCATTTACACAACAACATGATTTTGTTTGTATGGCTCAGTCCTTGCTGCATCCTTTGTCAACATGAACAAATAATTCACACAATCATTTTCTGACTTTTACTAAAGACGCCATCATAGGAAGAGAATTAAAGCTTTTTAGCAAAATCATTAAAACTGTTTTTAGAAAACAAGCCTTTCTATTAGAACTTCCTTCTTCATTCACTGAGATTTTATCCGACCTCAACAAAAGCACTGAATGCTTTCTCAATTTGCTGAGGAATTAAGTAGGCACTGAGAGAGATGAGCAGACTTTCTTCTCCATGCCTCATATGCCTCACTTTTGCCTCCATGAGCCTCAAAACAAGTCTAAGGGCAAGAAAGAATGCAAAACTGCATATTCTGTAAAAATAAAAATGTCTCCTCCTTTCTTGCTCTTATCTACCAATAACAGCAATCCATCCTGTCACTCCAAAGACAGGAAGATTAGTGATAGGACCAGAAATGCTATGCAACTATAAGACAGTGGAAAAGATACCTGRACTATACCTGCAGTTAAACAGTTAAACTTTTCACTTCTGGATTAAAGTTTTCATTAAAAAATAGACAAATAGACAACTGCATTATYTGCCCTCACATACAGGCAATACTTCTTGTCACTATGCACCTGGCACTACTAGAGGAAAATACATGATAACGTGGTTTGCAGTTTCTTATCCTATCTCTCAGATACAGAATTTGGGGAAATTACTTCACTTACTTTTGCAGCTTAGGCACTAGACTCTAGACATCTGTTCTTGAAAACCTTGAGATACAACCGCTGACAAGCTAAGCTATAGAAAACTGAAGGCTGMTGAGAAAAGAATCCCTGTGTGTAAAGAGTCATACTATATCTGCAGAATTTCTTCAAACACACTTGAATATATGTRTTGATCAAAATAGTATTTTGGTAATAAATTAGTAATTTAATTGAACCATAAGGACATCTTTTTTTTTTTTGGTGGTAAGATCTACTTTTGTTAGAGTACTTAGATACACCACAGAGCAATATTTCACCTTTCTTTAACAGAAAAGCATCCTTTGTAGGAAGCAGAGCGTTTTAAAGGGAATAAAAAATATTCACAGAACATTATTTTGCAGTGGTCTGACCACACAAAACTGACTTTATATGGCTACAAAGCGATTTCTCAACGATTTGGCTAGCAGAAAAGTACGTGCAGATTGAGAATTGATTGGCTTATTTTTACTGATTTGCCTTTAGGACAAAGTTTATCMGTGGGATTGGTTACTCCATATATTCATATGAATCCGTAAGGATAATCCAGATAATTCATAAGTCATTCATAAGTATATCCACATATCCATGAATACATAAGTGAATASAAGGGAGAAATCTACTTACCTTCTTTTCTAGTAGTTCTTTAACAAACCTAAGAAAARGACAGAAAAAAAAACTTTAAATTTTCATGTATTTTATAAATTAAGAAAAACATAGAAAATATTTACTTGGGCACTTTACTGAGCATTTCATACATACATCAACTATATACAGAAAGCTGGGCCAGATTCTCAGGTGAAATACAAACAAGAAGCACAGCAAATATGCCAGCTGTGAATTTGACCCTAAATAAATATTTCTTTTTTTTATTTTTAATAATTAACTCTAGACATGTGTCTTTAAGTTCTCAGCAGGAAATAAACACACCTTACACTAAATTTGCTGAAAACGAAATTGTATGCTACAGCAGCAACATTAGAGAAAAGCACTTAAATTTGTCTGTACTTTAAATCAGATCGTTAAACGTATTCTATCATTTCCCATCCTATTTTTAAAAAATGCTGCAATATTTCTTATCTCCTTTGCAGTAGTTGCATATGTTGAGATTTAAATTTATTGATCTCCTTCTATCGCTTAAAACATTTATGCTTAAAGCATAAGGAGTGTTTATATTATTGTTACTGCATAAACTACCTACTTCATGGAAAGTACAATATAGTTTCACAAACTTCGTGGAACAACATGATCTACATGGGAATCTCTATAAAAACTCTTTAAACAGTCTATATGGGTAATATATATGAATGAGTAAAACATTCTCTGACTTTGAAGAGAAGGAATGCCCTGAAAACTTGCATGTGCCATTTACACAAAGAACCCTCAAAAGCTGTCACGAAACCCTGAGGACAGGATTCCTGTGATTTTTTTCAGATTGACCGAGAATCCAGATTCACAGTATTGTACCCAGCACCCAATGACCTCCTGGAAATGACAGGCCTGTTTCTGCCTATGACCAACGGCATTTGAACCCACCACTGCCTAACTCTGAAAGCCAAATGGCAATGWGAATTAGGTTTTTGTCCATCTGTCTCTGTTCTAATGATTCACTTCGTATAATAATTAATTCTGTTCACTGAGACAGAAGCTAGATGGTAAGCACTGCTCTCTCAGATCCAAGACTTCAGCACAGTTATTTTCATTAAAAGTATCAACATAATTTTCATACCAGAAGAGTCTCCTCTCTTTCCCTCTCTCTGTATACACATAAGTAATGTATGTGTGTATATATATGTATATATTTACACATATATACATATARTTATATATGTACACATACACACACAGGTGTGTACTCTACCCTTGTTGGTTCATACAAAGAAAGAAGGATGCTTTGGTTCAAAACACTGCAATTTGTAGGCGAAGAATTGATTTTAATATGGGTTCATGGCTTCCTCTTTTTAGATGACTGCTCTTACAAGCTGAATATAATGTATTTTAAATTTCAATTATCCAACTGTATATTGATCTTCCTCTCAGAAAGGAAGCAGATTCATATCCTTAGTCTGAATTTAGATTAAATATAAAAAGTACTTGAAGTTGTGTACTATCTCCATACGTAAGTTATAAATATTTCTATAGATTGACTGTGAACTACTGAAATCAATTTTATGACACTGCTAGATCACATTCACTAGGTTCTTGGGAGAAAAAAAAGAAAAAAAAGGAAAAGAAATGGCTTTTTGTGGAAAAGAAAGAGCTTCTTCTTCCCCAACATACTGGCAAGGTTCAGATGTGACGGAAATGAATTCTCCTGTCTAAATGCAACAGCTCTCCAGTGTAGGACAGCCACTGAGCACCTGTATCACCCTCTTCCAAAGCTGTGAAACACTTGTTGTGCACATAATACAGAATGTATGTTGTACACATACAGAAGGATGGAGCGGTGACACAGACAGGCATTTAAAGGAAATGTTCACATCATTCTCCAGCTTTTTTTTTTTTTTCAAATAAAAAGATCATAAGTAGAAATTCTGATGCTTTCAGGACTATTCAGCAGAGCTGACTGTACTAATTAGGCAAGGAAAAACAAAAATTGACAYCATATAAACAATATAAATATTTTAAAATAGGTGTAAAAATAAACACTACTAATCCATGACACTTTGCAACTTTAAATATGTTTTACTGGCATTCTTCTAACATTACTTGCAAAAATAATGTCACAACTTCACATAGGTAATGGTAATGTAAATATTTGGTGGCATATTTACTTTTTGAGCTTTATAGCTGAAAAACTTTAAAAAGTATGTAAATATTCCTCTAAGCATTTTTGTTGGTCTGCCTAAGCATTTTCCAAGCACAGACAAGAAAGATGAAACTTAAGACAGCAGATTTCTATACCSAAATCACAGCTTCTTCTCTAGCCTACAATAAATCCACAGGGCATATTGTCTCAGTTTGGTTTTCGTTCATTCACTTAGTTGGATGTTGCATTAATTTCACAGATGTTATGTGAAAAGACATAAGAACTGGAGCATGTTTAAAATGGGATATATAAGGGTTGACTCTTACAGCTTGAATAATGCCTAAATGGTGAAAGGAACAAGCTCAATGATTAACGGGGGCAGAGGAGCTGCTTCCCCCCCATACCAGGTCACATACCCACTACAAACAGAGCTGTGCAGGAAAAGGTGAGACCACAACAAATACAACAAATACAACAAATACAAGTTCTGAAGGCAGCACTATCAATTTAATCATCTTACCTCTCCGTCTCTTGGATGGAATGAACAGTAGTCTCTTTGTATTGTGGAACACTGTCATTCAGATCCATACAAACTTTGCCAACAAAAGCTCTTTGACCAAATTTATCTGTTGCGTAAGAAAACAACATTCGTCATTCACTCATTCTCAAAACCTCCTGACAGAGTTGGTATTGAAATCAACATAGCAAATTCTGTCCCAGGTAGTTCATTAAGAACTGACAGATAGACCGTCTTTTCTTCAAGTAGGGACCATCCATGTGACTTATAGARCCAAAAGGGAAAAGAAAAAAAAAAGAAAAAACACATACCATCATGAACAAAAACATTTAAATAGGAACTCTCCTCTTCCACATTAGCATTCAGTTTTATAAGCATTATAATTAGCAATATAATTGAGAATTGGACTACTGTTATTTAAACACAACCAGAATCCATAACTGTAATATCTGCAGGAAATCACTGAGAAGCAGAGGATGAGAAATGTCTCCTCGTACAGAAAAGTGCAGGCATTAAAGTACAGTAAGTTTAGCAGCTGAGCACCCTGTGCTGAGAAAACACATGAAGACATCTGGAAAGTCCTTCTCCCTAAGCTAGAAGGAGGATTGTAACATGCTTCTCACGTGACTTTGGCTGGAGAATATAATCAGAGTTACTTCTAACTCATTTCTTGAGATCTGTAATTGTTATGAATCAAAATTCATATGTAAAATTTAAAAAGAAGGCAAGTAATATTATTTTTTATGCACTTAAACATGTTTGTACAGTAGATCCCCTTCAATGTCCAAGATGTTGAATACACTACAAAACCAGGCAAGCTACAAAACTACTGATGGAAACTGAGATTCCCATTAATTCACCTTCCTTCAGAAGCAAATAAAAAAAAGAAAAGAAACGGCAGGTGTTTTTAATAGTGGAAAAGTGGAAGAAATAAGATTTGATGCAACTCCCATTGTTCTGATTTTGAAGGGTGTGCGCAGATTTTTGATGCTGATTCCCAACTGAAGCTTGAGGGATGCAGGTGCCTCCTGCTATTTAGCCCTTTGCACCTAAAACTGTGAAAGGGTGGAAGAAGAGCAGCTCCTTTAGCCCTAATTTCAGTTCAGTTTGCAGCTGATTACAAACAAGGAATAGCAGACACAGAAAGAGAGAGCTAATAACAGAAGGAGAAACATAAACAAATGAATGGGGGTAGCTGGATTGGATTTTGGGGACAAACAGTGAAAGAGAAAATGAATAAAAAGAATGAATAAAGATTCACAGTTAATCTAAAATGCCTAAGCTTTRTTTGCTTCACGTAATAATAGTCTATACAACATCCTTCAAAATTCATTCTTGCAGTCTTACCTATAATTTCAGCGAGGAGAAGGGAAGTATCTGTATGAATTGTTGCGAAGTAGCAAGCTGTAGTGGTGCCATTCTTCAGAGTTCGTCTCTATAAAAAGAAACCAATTTCAACTGTCTGGGGAAAAAAAAGTAGCCAAGCTGCTGAAATACAGAACTGGCTGTCAGTGACTTCAAACTGCAAGAACATTTAGTTATTCAACAGAAGTTGCAGTGAAGTGGAAAAGTAAAATATAGTTTTTTAATTTTATAGTAGCTTTTTAAAATGTGAATACTAATAAATAGAAAAAGTCCTCTTTGAACCCTAAATAGGTTTATAGCAATGGTGAGACACACAGAAATGAGTCTTTAGCTTCCTCGGTCAAACTGGTCAAATTCTGACTTATGTCTAAATCAAATTAAATTTAGAAATACCAATGACTSGTCATCTAAGTAACTCCATTTAAAAAGATTGTCTGATTTTCACAGTGAAGCAGTATAGATCTAACACTAGCAGAACAAAGTTTCTGGGAAAAAGTAATGACTTTGATTTGCCCACTTGAATAACGGGGTGTTCTGAATAGGACATACTGGTTTGCAAGTTGACAAACCCTTCTTCACTCCTGAATGCAATTTAACAAGATTCAAGGTACAGCTAAGCTGAGAACAGAGAGGAGAAACGGAGGGTGGAGTGGAGTCAAKACACCATGGCCAAACTCTGTGGTACTCCCCAAGCTGAGCCACTGACAAACCGCACGGTAGCTGCCCAGTGGGAGATAAGTGATGAGATGTCCAGTACTGAGCCAGCATGGGTGGCAAATCACTCCTTTTGGAAGAATTTTGCTTGAACTTTGCTCATTATAAGCTCCTTATAATATTAAAACACATCCCCATCCCAAAAGTTACCCGCTCCAAGGGATGACCCCTCCTCACTGAGTGCATGCTCCAGGTTTTCCATTGACTATACCTCTAAATGAAAGCCATTTAGAGGTATAGTGGCCAAGAAGGCCAACGGGATCCTGGGGTGCATTAAGAAGAGCGTCTCCAGCAGGTCGAGGGAAGTGATCATCCCCCTCAGCCCTGGTGAGGCCACATCTGGAGTACTGTGTCCAGTTCTGGGCTCCCCAGTACAAGAGGGATGTGGAGCTGCTGGAGAGAGTCCAGCGCAGGGCTACCAGGATGATCAGGGGCCTGGAACATCTGCCCTRTGAGCAAAGGCTGAGAGAGCTGGGCCTGTTCAGCCTGGAGAAGAGGAGGCTGAGGGGGGACCTGATCAGCGTGTATAAATACCTCAAGGGAGGCAGTGAGGAGGAGGGGGGCGGCCTCTTTTCAGTGGTGGACAGGGATAGGACTAGAGGAAATGGCTTCAAACTGAAGCATCGGAAGTTCCACAGGAACTTAAGGAAGCATTTCTTCACTGTAAGGGTGACAAAGCACTGGAACASGCTGCCCAGAGAGGTTGTGGAGTCTCCTTCTTTGGAGATCTTTAAAACCCGCTTGGATGCAGCCCTGTGCCACGTGCTCTAGGTGACCCTGCRTGAGCAGGGGGGTTGGACTCGATGACCTCTGAGGTCCCTTCCAACCTTCAGCATTCTATGATTCTATGATTCTATGACTTTTTCACCAATCTATAACAACAGTAAGTATGATTACAGTCACTCAACTCCACCTGAATGTAAAGAAAAGGTATAACAGGYGAACTAAGGAGGAAAGAAGAGGGAAGATTCCATCACAAATTTTTCATTGTTTGATGGGCTGATCCCTCTTTCCTCCTCTGSGGACAGAACACCACTTGAGGAGACTTAGAAGTCAGAGGGAAGATTCCATTGTAACTTCTGGGATCAGTCAATGGGCTGAAGTCCCTATCTTCCCCTCAGGACAGGACACTGCCTGAGGAGACTTGAGACCAAGAGCTCTCTCCCATCTTCTTGGGGTGACTGATAACTGCACATTTGTACATCAGAGCTAGCTAAAAAAACCCACACTGCAGTAGAGAATTTCCTGTAACGACATCCGAAACCTGGTTTGTAAATGTTTCATTTAAATAAATCACGTTATTCATGAAATCAACTACTTGTTTGGAAGGCGACTGGACCTACGGTCAACAGACTGCTGGTGAATCCAACACAGCCAGAGTTGAGCTTGTAGCTGATCATACTATTGGGGAACTTGATTCACTCCTAGGGAGGCGATCAGACCTAAAGTCAACCGACTGCTGGTGAATCTGATACTGCCAGAGTCAGGCCTATAGCTTTCATTATGTCTAATGAAACCTAAAAACATTTTATTCCATTTGTTAGCATAGAGAATTGTCTTTTCCAAAACTTGAGGGGCCACAGGAGATTTCAGTCAATATTCTGCCAAGTTTCAATTGATTCTTTACTTTTAGTAGGCATAGAAAGTTTGCCGGAAACACAGGATCAATTTGAAAAAAATCACTGTTTTATTTTCAATATGAGGATATTTTTCACAGTAATKCAATTCTTTAATTCTCATTCAATTTTGGTCTCAATTTGTGAAAACAAGATTCACAGTTCTATTCCAAATTTTGTGAAAGGTTACTTCTACTTATGCTTTTTTTAATTCACTGCCCATTTCCTTGTTCCTGTATCACAAGTCTCATGGTGTAACTTCTGGCCTACATTACCCAGGTCATTTGTTCTATATACTTTTATCTTATTCCTCATCTGTCACCATCTGCTAAACACATCTGCTCTTTCCAGCCACTCTTCCTAGATTTTTCCTACCTCTAATCTTCACCCTTTTCCAATACCAATCCTTTCTGAGCTCCTCCTGACTTTTTTGACTCTGCAGGCAATGTTCATTGCAAGACTTTGGCACTAATTTATAAAAATTCTTCACATTTTCAAAGTCTTTTATCTTTCAGGACCATAGTTGCACACCTTTATGGCAATTAAGTCACATGCAAAGTCATTCAGTTTTCTGGCTTGATTAAGGCTAAAGAAACTTGACTAGGTAGTTTTCTGAATATTTTTTACCAATGAGCTGGGCTGAAAACACTAGCTATCTAGACAGCTACAACTAATTTTGATACACTTGACCATAAGATTAGTATTAGTAATCTGCAATAACAGGGGATGAAGACACTTTCCTGACACTGTGCTATTTGATACCCATAGGCAAGTAGCTAACCATTGCATTCAAGCTCCTCCGATTAATTTCCATTTTTCACTCATTCTTTTCCTGGTGATATTACTAAATATGTGTCACAGTGAACACTGACATCATCTGAACTGATGGAAACTGAATGCTAGAGTATACTTCTGGAAGGTGAGTTAATCTGTTTCACATCACTCAAGTYCTATATGTTGGGTTGCTAAACTCATGACCCAGATGTTCGTAACGGTTCTTACTATATTAGACTGCAGAAGGACATTTTTTTTTTAAGTCTGTGTGGCAAGGAGATTGTAACTAGCTATTTGAGACTCAGAATGTAGTGACTTTCACAACACATACACTCACAGTATTAGACAAATGAAAGAAAGCTTATCTTGGCCACGTCAATCTGCTGGAGATGTATGAGGCTACTTAYTAAAGGATATTTTTCAGTTACAGGACAGAATCAGTACTCAGCAACCTGRCCTACCTGTTATTTGCACTTCAAGTGGAATTTGACCTTTAAGTCTTTATGTTGCTTAGAACCCGTGCAGTTTAAAACAGTCCTTCTCCACTTAACACCACAAATACTATCCAAAGACTTCAGCTAAAGACACTGTGGTGAAAAGAATTCCTGCTACAGTTCCCTCAGCTGCTTCCTCAACTTGTTCAGAACACCCCAAATCTGTTAAAAGGGAAAAGCCTCTCCTCATGCCATACAGTTTTTGCCAAAGATGTGTTCACAACTGGTCTTTTGCTTATTAAAGGTATTRCTTCTCTCAATTATTTCTGAATTGAGTTTATCAGCACCAGCCAGTACTAGCAGCTCTGACAGCAATCTTAAATATTTGTGCACGTACCTGGATAACAGAAGAAAAAAAAAAACTGTAAACAAGATGATGTGACTAACCTGTCCTATCAGCAATCAGCAAGAGAACAAGATGGGAACTAGTAAGGGAGAGTCATAGCCGGCAATTAGAACAGTGGCTATATGGTATTAAAACATATATTCTCCTATTCCAATATTCTCCTATTTCTCCCAAACTTCTGAAAACATATATAAATGCCAAATCAAATAAATAAAAAAAAAAATTACATTTGCAATACTTACAACAACTCTGGTGTACACTTCTTCTGCAAAATCCTTATCTTTGAATTTGTCTTCTGTTGGAAATGTGTAGGTAGTTAACCACTGCAGAAGAGGTAGATCTATTCTTGTACCAGCAAACGAATACTGAGGTGCATGAATGTGTGTATCAACCAATCCCGGCATGAAGAATTCACTAGGCAAAAAAAAAAAAAAACAACATAATAGTCCAAAATTTCAAACATTTTTTCTAAAGTAAAGATTCTGCTTTTGACAGCAATTTGTGAATGAGAATCACCAGAGAAACAGCCAGGACTGAGAAAACTCATTCTTTCATAATTACTGGGTCAATCCCAATTTACTCCTAGATTTTAGCTGCATGAAGCAGTTGACTTCATATAAGCTTCATATAAGCAGTTGACTTTATTATATAGACTTACATGTAAGTAATAGAGAGGAAAACAACGAGGGACTAGAAGTTAGTAGAGGAGCATGATGAATCCAATTAACGGCAACATTTACCAAGGGTAGATACCAATAAGCCATGCCAGGCTGACTTCATAATAATTAAAATTACTCCACAATAGAATATTCCTGAACAAGAGAAGAATTGGCCCACTCTTGCTTTCTGGTATACATTTGAATACATTTAGGTGACAGATAAGTATATTTACAATACAGTAACTTTCTACATCCCATATTTTTCTATACATTATATATGTGTCTACACATGTAATCCATCAGTGAGGTACAAAGTTTAATGGAAGAAGATTTACATGTCTACACATGCAGATGAAGATGTTGACAAAATAATGTATTCGGTCCTTTGATAGTAAAGATATTGTTACTGTGAAACTGTAATACAGTTCACTATGCATTATACGTGTACTAACAGGAGTGAGAATAACATTATCGGGAAATCACTGTAATCAGTTAGTTGTGTGCTGGAACTCCATATATATTATATTTCTCTCACTTAGCCTGCTTTCTCCCTGACTACTGAGATAACAGTGATTTCTTCTTTTTATAAATACTCCTCTTCCTATATGCTAAAAATGCTGAAAGATCATTCTCAGTCTGATGCACATTCACAGTGCCTTGCATTTCCCCAAGCTATTTCAAATGCAGAAGAAAACATCTCATGATTCATATATTCTGTATGATTAGGGTTCCATGAAAGCCTACAAACTTTAACTACTGAGCACTCAAATGATGTATCATCTCTAGACTTTAAGCCACTAGGTGCTTACAGTTGTGCTACTGAATTTAAAGCACAGCAGATACAGTCCAGAAACATTTAATTTCACCTGAAGAGTGGGGGATTTCTTTGGCTCAAGAAAAAGGAAATACAATTGCTGCAGTACAAGTTGAAATGCAAGGTTCTCTTTGTAGGTTTTAAATCTTCTATATTTTTTAACTAGTTTTAGTTAGTTTTTATTAGAGAGGTTATCAAGGCCCAAACTCTTCAGTTCTGCAATATTTACCCCACTCACATTTTTAAGTGTAGAGTTTCCAACTAGAACCTATTGTAACAGCCCACTGCTAGAACACAGACATACAACACGCACTAAAGCAAGAACGTTCACTTTTGCATGAACAGAAAAGGTCATATTTGAAAACTAAATATAGCATTTTGCTCTGTACAGTATGAATCAGCCAGCAAAATTCACTCGTGGTTGTGTTCTCAATCCAAGAAAAGCCAAAAGCCTATGTGCCATTCATATTCCATGCCTAATCCAAAACACTTGCATCTCGGATTAAGTCTTCTCACAGAACTGAAAGGGAGTTTTACCCATAAAATCAGACTTACAGTTCGTTCTACGACCAAATTTGTTCACATACACTCACATTAATTTCATCAAATGCAATTTGTTCCCTAAGAGAAGTAATCTAAATCAAACACATACTGATTACTCAGTTCTCTTATGTCAGATGCTTTGAATCCCCACTTCTTAGCCAGTTGCTCTTGCTGATCACTTTGCTCCAAAAACACAATCTAAAAGAAAGAAAACAAATAGTTATAGACTTCAAGTATCTCACATTAGTTTCACATGAAAGCAAAATAACAGTCATTATCTTACAACAAAGATTACACATGTCCTAGAAAAAAACGATTTTGCATTGAAATAGTTGTTCTATCTGACTATCAAGCATAATTACAAAATATCTACTCATAAATCAGTGACTAACCCAAACCACTTTTGAATTTCTTGTTTAAAAAAACCCCCTCACTCTGAACTGATACATTGGTGGACCTGCATGGGGAAGCCCCAGTATCCACTACTTCTGTAAGTACCATGTTGTGCTACTCCCTAACAGTAAGGGAGTTCTTGATGAAAGTATATGATAGCCTTAATGGAACATAATTACAGTATTTAAAAACATAAGGGTCAGGTTAATTGCTTTGCCTATGACTGTCTAGTACTGAACTACGTATTTTCTGATTTTCTATTCATGTCATTAACATAGCTTTCTGTTTCTGTAACTGTCCAGAAGGATGAAATAAATTAAGAAAATGCAAATAATCTTTTAATTTTACTAAATGCACTAGAAGCATGCCTATGATTTTTGTTTACTTCAGAAACCTTCAATACTAAAGCCTCATTTGTCCCCATGTGACTTCAAGAGAACATAAATTCTATGGCTGCTAAATGCCTTTGACAGCTCACAATTCTAGCATACTTGTTCTTTTGTAAATTTCATAATGTTTTTATCCACATCGTGACTCTCAGCAGATGAATTCTAAACTTTTTATTTTCTCTCCTACATAGCAACACTAGGCATGACAATTCACCAAGAAACAAAGATCGGTGAGTTTAAAAACGGGAGAATAAGCATTAGAAACCAGAAAAATAATCAAACAATTATGATTTTCATTCATTTCTATCAGAATGTTTGCCAGAGACTGTCAGGATCATATTTTCATTACACTTCATGCAGTAGATGAAGACTCCCTGACCAAAGACTTCATATTCTGGGCTTTAGAAACATTAAGTTCTTGCCAAACCATAATTTTTGCCTGAAACCATCTTAGAGCCTTCTAACTCCTTTAGTATGGTCGTGAGGACCTTGTTCTTCTGTTTCCAGATAGAGGATCTGTTCCACCTTCATGACCGTAGCTTTTAAGGCAGCAATTAAAAAATAAAAAAAAAAGGAAGAATTCGGATAAAGGTGAAAAATAGAAGAGACTATCATATTTAGCTACTATTTACACTGCTGTTTTGTTATATATGTATTATACTACTTTTTCTCCTTTCGACATTTTTAGATAAGAGAACATAAATAAAGGCTGATTACTAAACTGTAGACAATAAAAAAAAACTGCCTAGTTTTTTTAAGTTTAGGTATGACTTTTTTGATTGTAAAGCATTAAGAGTAGATATTATAAAATTTTCAGTCAGAAAAAGACATATATTAAAACCATGCCATGCAAGTGAATACGTATTAGAAATAATTGCAAAAAAAAATGTAGCCCATTAATGTTTCACATCAAGCTGTACACTTGTTCTTTTCAAGAGAAATATTTAGACTCTTCAGCCAGTTCAATTAGTTACATATCTGCAAAAGGATAACAATGCAGACCTGATGAAATTTCTGATGAGCAATAAAGAAAATGTCACTCAGATACTGATGTCAAAATGGGTGCAGAATGACTAATGCTAGAGCTGCTGGGAAAAAAAAAAAAAAAAAAGTGAAAGAGAGACAGAGAGGGAGATACATGAAATACCAGATGGCAAAAGCTGAAAACAGACGTTGCCATGGAAAGGAAAGTGGATATGATAYACTCTTACAGCTCAAATAAATGAAACATTTAAATCATAAAGGAGTTATGAAAATATGTTTCAGGGGAGCTGAACACATGGAACAAATCCTTAATCTGACACCTATTCCATTATTATTAAATGCATYTGTGAGTGAATCAGGTAGACATCTGCATTCTTTTCAGACATAACAAGCTTTGTGGTGTTTATTCTTAACCACTGCCCAACAGAACGGCTTCATCATCCAAAACACAATCCTCACCGTTCTAGGACGCCTCTGTCATGACCATTTTCTAAATCTTGAGTGCTTTAAGGTCTTTGAGGTTCCAGACTTGGACATTTTCCTGGGTGATTGCTTGTACATTCAAGGATAACTGCTTTGCTACTCTAGCAGTATACTAGACCTTCAAACGAGTTCTGGCCCATAGCAGCACAAAGACAAGGGAAACTCTGACAGAATCACTGAAGACTCAACTGACGGAGGAAGCCAAGGGGGAAACTATCACTTGGAGTTAGGCACATCACAAACAGCAGGTAGATCGATGGGTGCTGACACCAATGCCCAACCGACACTTTGCTCAGTTCTGATGTGGACTTCAGAGGCACCTACGCAATAGGGCTAAAGGTTACAAATGCAAATAGTTGAGGTCTCCATATCCCAGCCCCTAGCTCAGCTCTTCGCACCACCAAGCCACCAAGAGATGCTAAACCCTCCACAACCTGTTACTTCTCTAGTCCAGCAAGTGTGCGCTACAGTGAAACCTTAGTGCCTTCAGTCTTCACTTTGTAAATAACCTGGCTACCTTAAGAGGRGAAAGTGAATGATATTGACCAAAGAAAACTCTCCTGAATCTAGCAGTGCCAGTTGTATCCAGATGTTGTGTCTCATTGTAAAGTCCCTCAATGAACATGAGTAAATGCTTCATCCTTCTCTCACCTCCCACACGCTTCTCGTCCTTTTCTAACCCCACAACTGTTAACTGCCAGCAGAAACATGAAGGCCTCTTCTGTCACTTACCATGAGAGATACTGTATTTTTTGACCTCACTATGTCAATGTGAGCTAATGAAGCTAATATGTTTAGGAATATTGCTATTAAAGACACGATCTCCCAGACTGAAATATGAGTCTAGATGGAAGACAGGATCACTTATTAGACTTGCCTACCAAATGATCAGCCCAACAACCAGCTGAGAAGGACCAAGCAATGACCACGAGGATGCTGGTGCCTCACTGCCCCTCTCTGAAGAGCCGCAACTGCAACCAAGTGCAACATGCCTCACTGGCTGTTCTAGCTGGTGTAAGGCCTATTGGCTATGCTTGGCAATACTTAACAAAATGAACTCTTACTCTAYACTTCTTGCTCTTCCCAATCCTTCAGCAAGTCATCACCAAGAAATTCTTCAACAAAAGAAGCTTTTATCTTAATACTGGTTCCATTTTCATGGTATTTATATTTGCAGTACCCTCCTAATATGTCAACATTTAAATGACAATTCRTATTTTGAATTTGACTCTACTTTCTTTACCCTGAAGAATAATATTTTTTTCTAAAATTCCTCAAGAACCGTACCACACTGCAAGTGTTCAGTAAAACCCTGGGTTTGTTTACTTAAAATAATTTGGGTCTCGTACCTGACAAAAATGTTTCCTTTCCTAAAATTGCCCTTTCAACCACCAGCAAAGCACAGAGAACCATCACTTTGGTCTTGGGCTTTTACCAGACAAGTATGCCCATGCTGGATGGTGCTGTGTTGCCATACRGTAATTACATGCTCCTGATATTTTGAGGAGAAAGCAAAGCACATAGTAAGGAACGCTATCTGCCTGTTCACAAAAGCTCGCTGTTCACCCTATGAAAGACCATGCAGTATTTCCCCACGCTGGAATCAGCAACGTGGGGTGCTAGAATGATACTTGTCTAGTTAAATTTAGCTCTTTGGGAGTAATATTGAAATAGTCTGGGTGTATGTTTTGACAATAAAGCTATTTTCTAKCCATCATGTCCCTATAGCACCAGCTCTTCAGTGGCTCCAATGGAAGTTCCACRTGAGGTAAAGCTACAGAGACCAAATAGGTTAAAATTCACTGCATTGRAGCAGTAAAATCATGAGAATTTGCACTAAAAAGAGAAAAAATTCCCTGTTACTCCCTCTGGTAGGAATTTTATTTTTTGCCAAGTGTCTTACTGATAAACCACTCAGTGGGCGCATGCCAATTTAAGCAGAGAAAAGAGTTCCCAGCAAATCCTGCTCACTAGGAGACAAGGAGAGGGGATGATGGAGAGCAGAAATCACTCGCCTGCAGCCTCCTATGATGTTTGCTTTTCAAGAAGACCTTCTAAACGTCTTGATTTCCCAAGGGCACACAGCAGCAATTCTCTCCCAGAAAATCACATTAAAGCCCTGCACAGGGTGAGTTTCTGACGCCTGCGCTTGAATTACAGAATCCAAACCCTTTATGCATTCTGCCCTGTCGCATTTTAGTTACAAAAACAGCCAATTACATAGGTGTGTAAGCTTTTATTCACCCCTCGTAAGCCAAGATACAGCTTTCCACAGGCTTTGCATCGCCTTGTACACAGCTCCCCGCGCGCCACGGGAGCCGTGTGGAAACGGGAGCCCACTGACCTGCAGGGACCGTGAAGGAAGAACTTCAAGTGGAGCCCAAAGCCAGCCTTCATTGCTCCTTGCAGCCTTATACGTACTTTTATTTTTGCGGGGCGGGGTGTTGAGCGGGTAAAAAAGAGGAAGCACAGAAGGCAGTACAGGAATGCGGAGTAGATCCGGCAGTCACAGCCTTTTGTGCGACTTCTGGCATTTATTAACGAGGCTGAACAAAAAGAGCAGCCACCTGCACGGCGGGGAGGAGGAACCCCCGCGGCCCCACCGCTCCGTGTTTCGGGGTCACCTCCCCGGCCCCAGCGCCCGCACGGAGCCCCCAGGAGCTGCATGGGGAGGCAGGAGGGGACCCCGGCCACCGGCATGGGCGATTTGCGGCAAAAAACCCGCTCCTCGTGACCGGCGCCTCCGCGCTGCTCCTCGCCGTGGGGCAGCCCCGCAGCGCCCGCGCGCCCCGTCCCGTGCCGTGCCGTTCCGTGCTGTCCCGTCCCGTCTCACCTTGCCGCCGTGGTCCACCCCCAGCAGGTGCGCGGGCAGCACCTCCAGGGGCGCCTCGCGGCGGGAGTGCACGAAGGTGCCCCTGAAGAGCAGCGCGAGCGGCGGCGACCGCGGGCAGCCCATGGCGGCGGCGGCGGCGCTCGGCTGCCACGCGGCGGGGCGGCCGCCGCTCCGCACCGGCAGCCGCTTCCTGGAGCTGTCACCATTTCCCCTCCCTCCTCCGGCCCCTCTCCGCGCGGGGTGGCGCCCGCCGCCCCAGGGCTCCTCCCGCCGCTCGCCCGCGCGCGCGGGGCCTGACGGCGGAGAGTGCCGCGAAACGGGGGGAACGGGGCAGAGCGGCCGGGACACGGGGACAGCGGGGGCAGCGGCAGCGTGACAGGGACAGCGGCGGCGACGGGGCTCGGCCCCCGCCCGCAGCCCCCGCGGACCCCCTGCCCGGCCCGCGTCCCCCGTCCACTACGGCCGAGTGCCCAGGGAGGTTTTGGGTTCACAATTACCGGCGACTTTACTTATTACAGATGTGTCCCGGCCTGTTACTTTGTCTGTCTGTCAGTCTGTCTGTCTGTCTGTCTGTATCTATCTATCTATCTATCTGTCTGTCTGTCTGTCTATTAATTACAGACTTCCCTGCCCCATCAGGAAGCAAAACAAGCCCACAAGTGCCCTGGAAACCCCAAAATCCCAAATAAAGAGACATCCAAGTTTTACCATGTCTCATTTAACACCTGATTTTCCCGGGGCGAAACGTTCCTGCAGTGAAATCTAAGTAATACCAGACACTGTTTTTACCACAGCTTGTTCAGCATGTGATTTCCCTGGAGCAAAACGTTTTGTTCTTGCCAGTTCCAAGAATTGCCAGTGTGACTGTAATTTATCAGGTACCAAGGGGTAAGGGAAAAACAAGTCTCTTCGTGAGCAGGAATTCTTCAATTCATATTTTCTTCTGGGGAAATGTGTGTTCCCACATTAATGTGCCATGGTCACAGAGGTGTGGATTGGAATGTTTTTCGTGATGGAAGATAGCTCACCTCAAACCTTGTCAAGCTATGATAAATCCTTAATAAGTTTGCCTCACTTGCAAAATAAGGAGTTGCAGGTTTGCAAAAGATCAGTCCTGTGAAGTTCCTGCAAAGACTGACAGCTACAGAAACACTACGTGTAGTGCCTCGTCACTTTGGATTGTGTATTTTGTATTTTTCTGGGACGTTCTCAGAGACCCCACCTGATGACTCACAATAGTTAGCATTTCCTGTGGCTGATTTTTGCAACTAAGCAAAACCAGCTTGTAACCAGCTTCAAAACTTAATTTTGCCATGTCTTTGGTTAGGCTTGTAACTGCAGTTTTTGCCACGTACCATAGACATTACTGGACAATTTCAGAAGGGCAGACCTAGCTTTAAAATACTGTAATCTTTAAATGTGCCTTTTGGGATGTATTTCCTGCTCCATTTAACTATTATGCTGTACTCAGTACTTAAATCTCTCTTCACCGCAGAACATCTCCTGGTCCTCAGCTTCCCTTGTGTACATTAGTAGGAGGTAGGAGCAAAAAATCAATGCCAGCTGACATGCCTCAGCTACAGGAAGAAAGCAGCCGCCATTCAGTGCAGACAAGAAAGGGGAAAAAAGGGTTTCAGGAAAAAGGAGAGAAAAATGTATTTTTTAATTCAGAGAATCACTCCAAAAGCCTAAGCCAATGTGTACTATATGTGCAATATTTATTTATAATTATGTTATTTACATAACATATGTACATATTTACATAATATATGAAYGTGGGCTGAGGCAGCTTCTAGGGGAGAATACTGGTCATAGCAGGGATGGTTTTCTTACTGGGAGAAAGCCAGAAGCAGGGGTGACACTGAAAGTCACCTTRCTTTATCAGGTAGAAAAATGAAGAATAAATTTGACAACCAAAGCCACTGTCCTTCTCAAAGGTGGATTACCAAGTTTTTTATTACATAGCTTATCATTAAAGACTTTTGCTGTCCTTTCCAGTGTGCTGACATTGTACAAACATATAGCAAGAGATAATCTTTGAGTTTTCCAGGTCAGTGGTGGGAGGAGAGAAAAGCACAATGAGAAAGCACAGAACAAAGGTCATCTTAATCTGCCCTCTTCACCTCACCTTTATCCTTGTCATTATGTCTTTTAATGAGAATACCYCCAGGTTCATGTGAAGTAAGTTTAAAGGAAACGTGGCCATACTGAGTCAGCTGAAGGTTCCTGTCTTGATTTCAGTTCAGTCGAGTTATAAAGAATGTCTGGAATAAAACGGATAGGTGAAAGTGGCTCTAGCAGGCTGAGATTGTCCTTCGGAGAAGGAATTAGCATGGAGATCTTTCTTACAATTCATTTGGCTTATAAGATTATAATACTTCCTKCTTCCTTGAAGACCAGATTACTCTTTTACTCAGATTGTTACTCTACTTTTGTTACCAAAAGAACAGTGGATATTTTCATAAAAGAGCTTCTTTTAAATTAGCATTTTTAAGCCCTCCTCCCTAGATGTTTCTCAGGATGATACTATTGTATTTATTAAAGTGACAGCTGAAACTGCTTTTTATCCGCACTCCAGCTTGTGATCCCAGGCAACTGAAGTGGTATTATTGCTGCTTTAAGGATAAGGAGTAAAAGGCTGACTGTTTTAGTCATAGACTAAAGAAAGGAAGAAAGAGCGGAGCTGGGTAATCGTCAAATGGAGCATCATGGGGAGGTGAACTCACTGCTCTTCCTGTTGACCTATATGTGAGGGCTTCCTTCCTTGGCAATAACTGTTTCTCTATACGCTGCTTGGCTCTACTCATGTTGTGCTAGCTCCTTAAAGGAGGGTGCCAGTAAAATAATCTAGAGGAGTAACCACCACTGGATTTCAATTAGCTGATTTTATTCACCAATACAAAATCTTTGTGATAACAACATCCATCATTATCTGGTGTGATTGTTATAGGAATGGGCTTACCCATTAGTACTCATTAGTAATTAGCAACTGGCAATTAGTGCAACTCAATGGAATACACTGCTTGTCCCAGAAAACTRAACTAAACTAAACTAATTTTATTCCCTTTGTCTTGTATTCCCTTAGGAAAAGAGTATATGACTGTGCTATAGTCATCCTTGCAAGGTGGTCCTTCCAGTGCCTTCAGGCAAGTTTTGGTCCATTGTTAAGGGTTTTGCAAGTGAATCAGTTCTTTAGTGAGTTAGGTATTTCTTTGCCAATGTAAGTGGGACCCTCCTGTCTCCACAAGACTTCCTGCTTCCTCGCGTTGTTGGGAAAAGCACCCAGAGCCTCATCATCACTTCTCTGTCATAGATCATGATGGCTGAACACTGGCAGAGTTCCTGCACTTCTGCTGTTCGGGTTGTTGACTCTTCACTCATCCATCAAGCAGCAGCCAGCCTGAAGTCCCAGGGCCAGGCAGGTAGCCTTGGTTTGCAGGTATCTTTGCCTTATGCACTCCCACAGGTGGCTCCTTGCTTCTCTGAGTTATCTTCCCAGCTTCCTAGACCCACATACCCGGATGGCCAAAGCCATCTGCACTATTTAGCAAAACTTTACACTCAAGGTAATTCAATATTCCTGAGAAGCTTTGCATTTGTGGTAGACGGATGTGTGGTGCTTCTGAGAATATCAATCTCAACCCTTTTYCTCCATTAGGAATCTCAGGGATTTCTTCCAACTGTCTTACAAAAAAATTCAACAATTTCTGAGAGATTTAATCCAGACATTTTTTATACATGAGACAAAATCAAGAAATACTTACAGTTTCTTTATTTAGAACTTTTCACCAAAAAAAAAAAAAAACTGTTAATTGTCATTGTGTTACTGTGGGCTCCAGGCACTCCGAAGACACAGCATTTAACTGTTAAAAGAACTAAAGTGTTCTTCTGGTTTTCCCAACTGTAGGAGAGCATATCAGTCTCTTAGAGGGATGATTAAAAACTCTTTCTGTCCTCCCTCACAGCAGCATGCCTGAAATACTGAATGGCTTACGATGAGTCCTCAGACAGCTGTGATAAACTGAGTCATTCTTCTAAGACCATGTAAGTGCTTGTGTACAAGCAGAAGTATGCTTGATTTGGCTGGGGTAGAAATACAACGGTTTGTTATGACTGTTGTTTACTAGTTAAGAGTAGTTGCAATAGCTTGCTCATGATTTCTGTAAATTGTAAAGAGTCGATAGTGAAAGATTTAGTTTCTTTCAAATTACGTAAGAAAGTTCTGTTTAACTAACAACTTAAATCTCAGCTTTGGAAACTCTTTGAAACCATTACACCTGGAATAACATGTTCATATTAAAGTACACGATCACTGAACTTTGACCTACTGCTGTTCAGAAACAACAACAAAAAATCCACCATTCAGTCTTTTTTTGTCTTTTAAATCACTATCTTTTGACTCAGTTTTAGAAATTAAGTGAAAAAATGAGAAACAAGTTTTGGCTGAGTTCTAAAGCTGAGCAAGAGCAGAAAGTTTGAAGTATTTTTAGAGCATTAGAATAAATATTTGCAGGATTAGAATGCCGYCCTGAATTTACTAGTACCTCCCACATTTTGATCTTTCCTTTCACTTTCCTTTCTTGTTTTTACAAAACAAGATTTCAGTGCCTTGTTTACAAAGTTTTGGAGCAGCTCTAATGATCCAACAATACATGAAGAATATAAGATAAAGAAACTTCTTTTTAATCCTCTRTTTTCAAAAAGTTGTCAATATGCATATGCTATCAAACAGAAGCTTCTGTATTAAAAACACTGCTAGAATACATACCTTCAGAGCTTGAACATCAGGGCTCAATAATTATTGATCTGATAGAGTAATTAATATTGTTATTTACATTTGATTATCATAGTGCATCCTGGGCATATTTCCTAACATGGCAACTAAGTCAATGGAAGAAAAAAAATAAAATTGATTTATCTTTTCTTGATTGATTTTTGTCTGAAAATGAAAGCCCGAAATACACAGCAGATACTTGAGACTGTTCTGGGAACGAAAGGACGTGTAGCATGGTAAATATCTACTCACAGAGAAAAGCAGAATAAATTGGGAGTTAGGACTAATCCAGTATTGTCTAATTCAAGCTCTTTGTGTTCCTTGGTAGGTTTGTTTCA